GGGGATTTTCAGGAAGTTTCACAGCCACTTTCTGTTATACCTCATCAGAATTCTTTATTGGCATTTTTTGAATTAACATGAAATAGAGCTGATAGAGTGCTGTGAATTACTTATAAGGCATGCTTAATGCCAGGCCACATAAGTATGATTATATACATCACTTATTATACTTGAATTAATTGTATTGTTTTTATTTCATTATAATATGGTGCTGAATAGATTCTTGCTCAGATAGCCTAGCTACTAACAGTCTAATATAAAAATTAGATAGATGTTCAGTGCTTTTATGAATAATAGCATTTATTCTCAGTATTTCTTTTATCACTAGTTTCACTTCAGGATATTATCTGCTCCTTTTCACTGTGCCATGCCATCTGACTCATTGTTTCTTTGTTTTTAGAGTGGAGATGAAGAGGGTATTCTACTGATGGCACTTACTGTTGGGGCCTTCTTTGAAGCTGGGCTCAATTTCACTGTGTGTATTCCCATCATCTTCTAGTTTCAGTCAGCTGAATACGCATGAAATAGGCTGTAAATTCAGAGTGAATTGATATTCTAAAACTGGATGCAGCATACACAGAACATTTCATTATCAACCTTTAAAATAATGCTGTTTAAACATTTTAGCTTGATAGACCTTTGATGAACATTGCTGGGTTTTTACCCAGGGAGAATACACATATGCACACATACACAATTTATTCCTACAATTTCAGGGATTCAACATCTCCTGAAGTTCAGCCATGAATTTCAGATTAACAAGCCCTGTTCTAAGTAAAACCATAACCTAGGATTCTCCTTCTCTCTAACCAATCAGTGAGTAACAATTTCAACTTGTGAGGCTTATCTAGGCTACTTCTCAATCCATGGGTTAGATTATCTGATTCCAAAATGTTATTCCTAAATTAAGATGCTAGGAATTTTCAGGGTCATTATAATATCTTGCAAGTCATCTTCAGAAATACAAGTTTCTGTTTTTAGGAATTAGAGTAAAATATTATAGGTTTAAAAATAAATCTGTATGCTTTCCACATAGGAGACATTCATACCTTTCTTACCACTTAAATTTGATTTCTCACTAATGGTGACATTACAAATTTATTTTAATGATATTTTGAAGAATAATACACATGTGTCTTTGTGAATAGATATACTTCAAAGATGTATAAAATATAAAAGTATAGAAAATATACTTCAAAGATGTTATAAATCATGATTAATTTAAGTATTCAACAAGCTAATAAAATATTTAGGTATCATTTTAATATATATTATTATTCTTCCTGACTAGTTTCCTGCTCTACGAAATGGGCTCTTTTGCCTAGAGGAAGCATTGGCAAGTGGTGTCACTAATGCTTATAACCAGGCAATTCTAGCGTATGTTTTGGCATTAGCTGGAAAAGAGAAGCAAGTGGAAGTTTTGCTCCAGACTCTGGATCAATCTGCTACAAAAATCAGTTAAGTATTATTATTCATTTTTGCTGATGGAGATGATCTTGAAAACAAAACATTTACTAAACAATCATGTAGGAGCTCTCTCTTCACCAGTATGTTTCTGTTTCTTTTCTGGGATTTATCAGGGGTTCTTTATCTTTAAAGATTATTATATATTTTACATTTCCCTCTTCCTCATTTATGCTAGTTTTTTCTCAAATGAGTAAAAGTCAAGATAATCAAGCATGGCGACCATGTCATGGGCAATAACAATTACTTTCAAACTTCTTCACATACTACCTTGACCTTAGGAAGTTACTGTTTAAGGATGTGTTCATTTGCTGTGGCTGTCATAACCAAATACTACAGACTGGATAACTTCTACAACAAAACTTTAATTCCTCCCAGCTCTGGAGGCTACAAGTGCAGCATTAAGGTGTCAGCAAGTGTTATTTCTTTGCTTGTAGATGGCCATCTTCCTCTGTCATCACACAGTTTTCCATGTGTATGCATCCCTGATGTCCCTTGTGTATGTCCAAACTTCTTATAAGGGCATCAGTCAGATTGGGTTGTAGCCTACCCTAACAGTCTCATTTTAGTTTAATCACCTCTTTAAGGGTCCTATCTCCAAATACAGTCACATTCTCAGGTAGTGGGGGTTTAAGATTTCAGTATATAAAATTTAGGGGGACATGATTCAGCCCATATAAAAGCCAAGAATGGAATTTGTATTCTTCTTATATGTAACCAATGTAATTCATAGGGACTATGTGGAAATTTTTCCTTTTTCTCAGATAATGTTATATACTGGGAAGGAGAAAGTAAACCCAAGACAGAAGAATCTCCACCCTTTATTCCTCATGTGCCTTCTGTTGAGCAAGAGAAGACTTGCTATGTGCTGTTAGCTGTCATTTCCCGGGAGATTCCTGACCTCACCTATGCTAGTTGTGCAGTGGGTCGCCCAACAGATGAATTTCAATGGAGGCTTCTCTTCCACCCAGGTGATTCATGTGGGCTTGATATAAAGACTTAGGAGTACTTGTGGTTTTGGTTACATGGATGAATTTTTATAATGATGACGTCTGGGTTTTTAGTGTACCTGTTTCCCAAGTACTGTGCAGTGCATCTGATATGTAGATTTTCTTCTCTTCTCCCCAACCTTTTCCTCTTCTGGGTCTCCAGTTTCCATTGTACAACTCAATATGCCCCTACGTATCCATAACTTAGCTTCCTCTTATAAGTGAGAACATGTGGTATTTGGTTTTTCTTTCCTATGTTACTTCACTTAGGATAATCGCCTCCAGTTTCACTCAAGTTACTGCAAAAGACATTACTTTATTCTTTTTATGGCTGAGTATTCCACATTTTCTTTATCTATTCTTCCCTGACTCCTAGTGGGATTATTGGCTCAAGTGATAGATTTACTTTTAGTTCTTTCTTTCTTTTTTTTTTTTTTTGAGAGAGAGCCTCAAGCTGTCCCCCTGGGTAGAGTGCCGTGGCATCACAGCTCACAGCAACCTCCAACTCCTGGGCTTAAGCAAGTCTCCTGCCTCAGCCTCCCAAGTAGCTGGGACCATAGGCGCCTGCCACAACGCCTGGCTATTTTTTGGTTGCAGCCATCATTCTTGTTTGTTGGGCATGGGCTGGATTTGAACCCACCACCTTAGGTGTATGTGGCTGGCGCCTTAGCCACTTGAGCCACAGATGCCGAGCCACTTTTAGTTCTTTGAGGAACCTCCATACTGTTTTCCATAGAGGTTGTACTAATTTACATTCCCACTAACAGTGTACAAACATTCCCTTTTCACTGCATTTGTGCCAACATCTATTATTTTTGGATTTTTTAATAATGCTCATTATGACTTGAGTAAAATGATGTCCCATTGTGATTTAAATTTGAGTTACTCTGATGATGAATGATTTTGAGCATTTTTTCATGTTTGCTGCCCAGTTGCATCTCTTCTTTTGAAAAATGTCTGTTCATGTCACTTGCTCATTTTTCAATGAGATTATTTGTCTTATTCTTGCTGATTGATTTGAGTTTCTGGTAGATCCTGGATAGTAGTGCCTTGTCAGATGTATAGTTTGTGAATATTTTTTCCCATTCTCTATTTTATTCTGTTGATTATTTCATTCTCTGTGCAAAAGCTTTTCAGTTCAACTATTTATTTTTGTTTTTAATAATAATATTTTTAATGCCAAAGATACTATTCCATAATCTATGTAGCAAAGATAATCACAAAAACTGCTTGTTGAGATGAAAGTATTTGATATTATAAATCTTATTTTATTTAGCCAACAATTGGTTATTGTACAGTGATTATGTATCCGTCAGCATTAGGTATGGGAAAAGTCTTGATATAGAAATGAATAAAATAAGACTCACTTTTCAAGGAATTTATGCCCAATTTATATAGCCATTGACACTGTAAAAATAGAATGCACTCTGTCTAAAGAGATTGTTTTGTCATAAGCACCGGAGTCTTGGTGTTATCTTATATATCTGTTGACA